TAGGAGTGCAGTCATGCAAAGAAATAATAATTTCCAAACTAGGTAAGGAAGATAAGTGGTAAAATTTAGTAGTCTTTTAGTTATAGAGGTCACCATAATTGTTATGTATAGCAAAGTCTCAGGTAGCTTTGTTTATTAAAATTATCTTTTTCTGATGGGATCTTAAAAGGTATATATATGAGAATATATTATATTTCTTACAAAATATTTATGGACCTGTTTATAAGATTTTTCAAAACTAAAATGTTAACAGCCTTTTTAATGTTAGTGTACATGTGTTCTAGAGGGAAATGTTTCAAGACGTTTTCTATAAAAATTTTGCCTTTTGTATTTCAGTAGGAAAAAATGATATTATAGAAGTGTATCCCAATTCCCCATGCCACCATGAATTTTAAAATTTAAATTCTGAAGCTTTGAGGTCATATCTCTAGTTATAAATGAGGTTTAAAATGAGTTATAAATGAGGTTTTTAAGTATTGCATTATAGTATTGCATTAAGTATTGCATTTTTAAGTATTGCATTATAGAATATAGCCTAGTTTTCTATTTCTATTTCTATTTTTACTGATTATCTACTACACCATTTACTTATGAGGGTAGCAGGGCTTACAAAGTCTATAATTTGTAAACATTATTTTAGTTTTTCTACATTGAATTATTGCCAAAGTTATGTTTACTTTCTGTTCAAAAATCATTGCTAAACCAGTAGGTTTGGTGATTATCTTTTAAGTTTAGAAATGTAACTTTTAGACATCAAGTAAAAAAAGTAGAGACCAATATCTTTGATATACATAGATGCAGCAATCCTTAATAAAACATTAGTAAATCACATTCAGTAGCACATTAAAAAGATATTAAATACACCATGCTCAAGTGGGTTTTAGCCCAGAGATGCAAGTTTGCTTCAAAATATGCAAATCAATTAATAAAATTCACCTCATAAGTATAACTCAGAACAATAATCATATGATCATCTCAATAGATGGAGAAAAGGCCTCTAATAAAATCCAGCAAATATTTATGTTTAAAATGTTGGAGAAACTAAGGATAGAAAGAACTCACCTCAACATTATGAAGACTATACATGACAAACCCAAAGCGAACATAATACTGAATGGAGAAAGATTGAAAAAATTTCCTGTAAAATCAGTATTAAGGCAATGATGTCCACTCTCACCACTCCTTTTCAATATTTTTTTTTTTTTTGAAACTCTAGCCCTAGAAATCAGACAAGAAATTAAAGGGATATAAATGAAAACAGGTCAAATTATCTGTTACTGCTAATGACATGTTCCCATATCTAGAAGACTCAGGAAACTACCTGAAGTTAAATGATTTCAGGAAAGTAGCAGAATACAAGCTCAATAGCATACATCAATAACTTTCCTATACCCCAACATCAGTTGTGCTGAGAAAAAAATCAAGAAAACTACTCCATTCACAATAACCTCAAAAAAAAAAAAAAAAGAAAGAAAGAAATCCAACAACAAAAACCTTGGGAATTAATCTAACCATGGAAGTAAAATCTCTTTACAATGAAAATTATAGAACACTGAAGTAAGAAATTGAAGAAAACCTTAAAGATGGAAAGTTATTCCATGTTCTAGAATAGGCAGAATTAATATTATCAAAATGGCCATATTATCCAAAGTGGTATATAGATTCAATGCAAACCCAATCAAAATATCCATGACATTCTTCACAGAACTAGAAAAAAAAATAGTCCTGAAATTCATTTTGAAGAAAAAAAGCCCAGAATAGCCAAAGCAATCTTAAGCAAGAAGAGTGATGCTAGAGAGATCATAATGCCTAATCTCGTATTACAGAGCTATAGTAACAATAGACACAAAGAACAGTGGAATAGAAGATACAGAGACAAACCCACATACTTACAGGCATCTGATTCTTGACAAAGGTGCCAAAAATATATATTGGAGAAAAGATATCTTTTTTAGCAAATGGTGCTGGCAAAACTGGATATCCATATATAGAAGAGTGAAACTAGTTCCCTATCTTTCACCCTGCACCAAAGTAAAATCAAAATAATCAAAGACTTAGGAATTCGACCAGAAACTTTGCAGCCTCTAAAAGAAAGCATATATCAGTACTCCAACATATCGGTGCCAGCATCAACTTTATTAACAAAATATGTAGCTCAAGAAGTAAAACTAAGAATCGGTAAGTGGGATGGCTTCAAATTTAAAAGTTTCTGCACAGCAAAGGAAATGATTAAGAGCATGAAGAGGGCCTACAGAAAGGGAGAAAATCTTTGTAGCTGCTCTTCTGATAGGGTATTAATATCCAGGATATTATAAAGAACTCAAAAAGCTTAACACCAAAAAATAAAATAAATAAATAAAAACCAATAAATGAACAAAAGAACTAAACAAGCATTTCTCAAAACAAGAACAGATGGCCAACAAATTTATTTTTAAAATGTTCAACATCTCTAGAAATCAGGGAAATGCAAATCAAAACTGCATACAATGTCATCTCACTCCTGTCAGAATGGCCATTATTAAGAATACAAATAATAATAAATATTGGAAAGAATTTGGGGAGAAGGTACACTCATACATTGTTGATATGACTGAAAATTATTCCAGTCAGTCTGGAAAACAGTATAGAAATTCCTTCAAAAACTGGGAATGACACCACCATATGACCATGCTATCCCATTACTTGGTCTTTGTACAAAAGAATTCAAATTGGCATACTCTAGTGATATAGCTACCTTAATGTTTATAGCAGAGCAATTCACACTTGTCAAATAATGAAACCAAACCAGATGCCTTTCAATGTGATAGATTAAGAAAATGTGGTATATGTAACACATGGAGTTTTACTCAGCCATGAAGATCGAAATTATGGTATTTGCCAATAAATGAATAAAGAACATCGTGCTAAGTGAAATAAGCCAAACTAAGAAAATTAAGGGTTGAATGTTTTCTATAATATATAGAAACTAGAGCAAAATAAGGGGAAAGGGGACAGGGTCAGATATCATAAAGATATAGAGATCAGTGGAGTAGAAGGAGATCGAGAAATAGGAAAGACGGACCAGAAAGAGGAGGAAATGTGGAATGGATTTGACAAGATTACACTATGTGCTTGTTTAAGTATACCACAGGGAGTTCCACCTTTATGTATATCTATAAACACCAATTGACAATAAATAAACAAATGAGTGAAAGGAAGACCAGTAGAGTAGAGGAAGTAGAATAGGGTGAAGGAGAAGGGGAGAAAAAGGAGGAATACTGGGGATTGAAGTGGAATAAATTAAATTCCATTCATGTATGATTTGGTCAAAATGAATCCAACTATTATGTATAACTCTAATTTACTAATGAAAGAAAGAAAACTAAAAGAAGAAATATAAAATTAAAAGTCAAAAACTGTTTTTATAAATGCAAATAATGAGTCTAGTAATAGCTTTCACAAATGCTTAGAACACTGTTTTTACAAGAAGAATAGACGCGGGGTTTTTTGTTCTTGTTTTGGGGGTACTGGGGATTGAACTCAAGGACACTCAACCAGTGAGCCACATCCCCAACCCTATTTTATATTTTATTTAGAGACATGGTCTCACTGAGTTGCTTAGCACCTTGCCTTTGCTGATGCTGGCTTTGAACTCGAAATCCTCCTGTCTCAGCTTCCCACTGGGATTACAGGTGTGTGTTACCATGCCTGGCTAGTAGACCTGTTTTATAAAAACCAAGGATACCTGTAAAAAAAAAAAAGAGAGAGAGAGAATCTGTGACCTCAGACTATTTCTCACAAATCAGAATCTCTGGGTATGTCACTTGAAGGTCTATATTTTGAAGTACCACATTTAGTCCTTAAATGTCTTATAGTGAGATTTCCTGCAACTACCAATTAGATCATGCTTGGATCCATGTACTGTCATGTATCACATGGTTGTTGGAGTATATTTGTGTATGTTTGTGTGTGTGGTGAAATTTTTGAAGTCATTTTGTATATTTAATAGATTAACAAGTGTCAGTATCTCATAAACTTCTGTAGATGTTTTATAGAATTTAATGTCTTATTAATATGTAGAAACTAAGCCAATAGTTCCTGTGAGATTGTTTCTAAACCAGAAGAAAGGATAACCTTCCTTAATTAACTTAAAAAAATAAAAACCTAGGTTGGTTAAAACATGCCTATAATTCCAGCGACTCTGGAGGCCACGGCAGGAGAATCTAAGTTTGAGGCCAGTCTCAGCAACTTAATGGAGCCCTAAACAGCTCAGTGAGACTGTATCTCAAAATAAAAATGGCTAGAGATGGGGCTCAGTGTTTAAGCACCTCTGGGGTCTGTCCCTGGTACCAAAAAAAAAAGAAAAGAAAAGGAAAGAAAAACTAGGACCCGGCTCCCACTCTGTAATAATTAAATCAGAATATCTAAGAATCAACTGACTTAATTTATTTTTAAAGTGCCTCAAGTGCTTTCAGTGTATAGCTGCAGCTAAGAAATAGAAATCTACACTAGTGACCAAAAAGAACAATGACAACACTAATTCAAAAATCATTTATGTTTGGCTTGAGAATCTGTAGTACTCAAAACCATATATTAAAGATATTGCACAGTAGGGTCCCAATCCTTTTTCCTTAACTGCATTGTCAGGCAATCAAAATCGAGTTTTTGGGGCAAAGAACATTCTCTCTGAAGAATTTTCTCTTAAAAAGACCTTTTCTGCTGTTTTCCTAAGTTGGTGTAATGTGCTGAATGAGAAGTTTAAGTGATAAGGATATTCATGAGAACAGAATATTGAACTTGTTGATTTCCGTTCTGATTTTGGTTCAAATGTAATCAAGAATATATTTCTGTAATAACTTTGAACAAGGAAAGTATTTCCTATGGTGGGACAACGTTTATATAGGAGATCAGAATCTATGTATTTATAATTACATTTATTTAAAATTTTTCAAAGATTTTCTCTTGTATTTAAAATAAATGAAACTACTTATAATTCACATTTTCTTATGCTTTTTTTCTAGATGATCCTTGGAGATGTCATTTTCTGCATATATGAAATAGATCTTGAAGGGTTTATGGTTTACAGACAAAATCTTTAGAAGTTAGACACTCAAGGTAAGTAATAACTAAAGCCTCATAAGTAATTGTTAGGGTTATCTGATTATAATTTCAACTTGTAAATTTGCTTATTTTTTATAACTGGCCTAATCTAACTGACTCACATCTACATCCATTTATATTCAGAAACAATTTTTATGCCTTAATACCATCTTAACAGGAAGTATCCTATTTTGTTTATAATAACCAATTGATTAAAAATGACATGTTGTTATGGAGGGAGAAAACCAACTATAAATAATAATTGAAGTAGCTTCAATGAAACCCATGAGCACATTTTACAGAGTATAACTTGAAAAAATAAAACAAATCTACTGTCATCCACTGTTTTCTTTTTCTTTTATATATATATATATATATATATATATATATATATATATATATGTTATTATAATATTAATTATTATATATATGTGTGGACACAGTACCTTTATTTTATTTTTATGTGGTGCTGAGGATCGAACCAATTGCCTCATGCATGCCAGGCGAGTGAGTGCTCTACTACTGATCCACAATCCCAGCCCCTTGTTTTCCTTTTAATGTATTTAATCAGTTCCTTTTAACACATTAAGAGTTTGTTCTTTACCTACTCCAGAAAACCCTGTCATGGTTTCATGTACTCATGGTACCTATGATACCAGACCCCTTTTCATTATTTCATGACTTTCCTCACCTGGCATATCCTGTTACTCCGTGTGTTCTGTCATGCCTTCTGTGATTGCTTATATGCTTTCATTACTGTACATTTCAGACTACATTTTGATAACATTTCAAGTGTGATACAAGGGGTACAAACCTCATAAAAGTTACTTTAAATGATTGTTTGCCAGATGGGGACAATGAAAGTCCAGAAAGTATGTGGCCTATAAATGGGACACTCCTATTCAGCTCTAGGATTCTTGCTGAGTGGAAATGAGAGGCTGCAAAATCAAACCTTATTTTCTTTTCCCAAAGAAACCAGAAGTTTGGATTTTAAAACCTTAATATTTCAATAACAGTGTAAGATTTTGTCTTTGAAAAAATCCAATTTTGCCACTGTGTGAACCCAGTAAAACAGTTTATGGCCTCTGGTGCAGTTTCTTTTTTCCTTTGTTCTATTTTTCTTTATTCTTTTAGAGTACAAGTACTTCAAGTCTATTTTATTCCTCTTTAATTTATGGTTATCAGCTTAGTGATTTTGCTACTTTTCTGTGATGAATTTTATTGTCAGAAATTATTTTATTTTAAAAAATAAGTCATATTACTTATTTCTAATTTATTTCCATAGTTATATATTGTAAATTGGTTACTTGGAACAGCTATTTAATTGTTTTTTGAATTATAATGATTAGATAAGTCTAAATCAGATCCTTCTGATACAAAAAAATGTAATGGACCTTTTTGCACAGAGAGGAAATATAGTTTATCACACTTCTCAGTTCATGGCACACTGTTATTATTGGTCATGAAAATCATCTCAGATTCTCTTACTCCCATCTCCAGTAGTTTCCTCTGACCATAGGAAACCATTTTCATATGATTTTCTAAAATAATATCAATTATAGCATTCTTTTTTGCTTATATATTCATGTAAGTATTATTGTATATTTTAGGGTATCTTTTTTATTTATTTTTTAATTTTAGTTGTCAATACCTTTATTTTTTTTTTAGTGTGGTGCTGAGAATCGAACCTAGGGCCTCGCATGCGCTAGGTGAGCACTCTACCACTGCACCACGACCCTAGCCCCTATTTTACAATATCTTTATATGAAAAATGTCAAATTAATAAAAATAAAATAGAATAATATTATGAAATGTCATGTGCCTATCTTTCAACTTCAACAGTTGTCCTCTAGCAGTTGAGTATGTCTCACCCATCTGTCCCCTTTTCCCTCCCCAATTTTTATACCTAAAATGTAAATATGCAAAGTGGTATTGTTCCTCCTCTGAAATTGCATATTCATATTCTTTATTTATTTTTTTCACTTGGGTCCCTGTATCTTGATTAATATGTTGTAGGTATTTGTTATATAAGCTAGATATTAATTTCCTGATATTTTTAGATATGAAAAAAAGTCTCCATGCTTCAACTTTTTAATTTTATGCGTTATACTTTTTAAATAAACACCCAGCTTTTGAATATTAAATTAATTGTACTGTATCTCAGTCTGTTTTCTATTTTATTTAACATTATGTTTAAACATTTATTTATGTTTCTGTGTTTACATTGCTTATAATGGCTGCATAGTATTTTATGGTTGATAGCTGTCCTGTTTTAACTGTCCATTTTCCCCAGTGAATATCACCCAAGTTGTTTCCAGTTCCCTGTTGTCACAAACAATACCATTGATGAACATGCTCATACTTATCCTATCATGGGACTTTGCAAGGATTTCTTTGGAATATATTCCCAGAAGCAGAATTGCTAGATGATGGGATATATGTTTATGCGTAAATTGACAAAATCCTATCAGATGTTCCCGCAGAGAAATGGTTCAGTCCATACTCCTGGTAGCCTCTTCATTCCTGCAAACCATTAGCATTATCTAGCTCTGTTTTGTTTTCAGTCTAATATGTGTAATTTTATAACTCATTGTTTTGAGTTCTTTTATCACTGTTGAGTTTGAGTCTCTCTTTATACATTTGTCTGCTTTTTAAGGCTTCTTCTGAAATTGCTTATTTATATTCTTTATACATTTTTTTATCTGGGTTCCTATATCTTGATTATTATGTTGTAGGAATTTGCTATATAAGTTAAATATTAATTTCCTGTTAGTTGAGATATAAAACAAATGTATTTCCATCCTTAAACTTTTAAATTTTGTGCATCATGCTCTTTAAATATTAAGAACCAGTTCAGAAAACTCAGTAGCATTTCTGTGACAGCAATAGATATAAAAATATTTTAATTAAATATATAAACTATATATAGTTTATATATAGCATATTATATTATATATATATATATATTATTTTATATATATTATATATATATAAACTCAGTAGCATTTCTGTGACAGCAATAGATATAAAAATGTTTTAATTAAATATATAAACTATATATAGTTTATATATATAGCATATTATATTATATTATATATTATTATATTATATATATAGCATATTATATATGATACTGAGTTTTTTGAAGTGGTTCTTAATTCCAGCAACATTGCTGAACCCTAGTAGTAGTAGTAGTAGTAGTATAGTAATAATACCAGGGATTGAACCCAGGGGTGTTTAATCACTGAGCCACGTCACCAGCCCTTTTTATATTTTAAGACAGAGTCTCTCTAAGTTCCATAGGGCCTCACTAGGTAGTTGAGGCTGGCTTTGAACTCGCAATCCTCCTGCCTCAGCCTGCCAAGTTGCTGAGATTACAGGTCTGTACCACCACACCCAGCTGAAATCTTATTCTTTTTTTTTTTTTTTTAATTTTTTATTGTTGGCTGTTCAAAACATTACATAGTTCTTGATATATCATATTTCACACTTTGATTCAAGTGGGTTATGAGCTCCCATTTTTACCCCATATACAGATTGCAGAATCACATCGGTTACACATCCATTGATTTACATATTGCCATACTAGTGTCTGTTGTGTTCTGCTGCCTTTCCCATCCTCTACTATCCCCCCTCCCCTCCCCTCCCCTCCCCTCCCCTCTTCTCTCTCTGCCCCCTCTACTGACATTCATTTGTCCCCCTTGTATTATTTTTCCCTTTCCCCTCACTTCCTCTTGTATGTACTTTTGTATAACTCTGAGGGTCTCCTTCCATTTCCATGCAATTTCCCTTCTCTCTCCCTTTCCCTCCCACCTCTCATCCCTGTTTAATGTTAATCTTCTTCTCATGCTCTTCGACCCTACTCTGTTCTTAGTTACTCTCCTTATATCAAAGAAGACATTTGGCATTTGTTTTTTAGGGATTGGCTAGCTTCACTTAGCATAATCTGCTCTAATGCCATCCATTTCCCTGTAAATTCTATGATTTTTGTCATTTTTTAATGCAGAGTAATACTCCATTGTGTATAAATGCCACATTTTTTTATCCATTCATCTATTGAAGGGCATCTAGGTTGGTTCCACAGTCTTGCTATTGTGAATTGTGCTGCTATGAACATCGATGTAGCAGTGTCCCTGTAGCATGCTCTTTTTAGGTCTTTAGGGAATAGACCCAGAAGGGGAATAATGGATTATTCTTTTTGCCAAGAGAGATGAATTATATCACTTTGTAAATAATGACAGTTTTTTTTCCACCTTTCCCATCATAATACCCCATTTTTTTTTCTTTTCTCTATTCTTTTGGTTAGTTTCTTTGGAACTATTTTGCAGTAGTAGTGTAATTGAAGCATCTTCATCTCATGATTTCTCAGTTAATTATAATATTCAATGAAGTTTTTTATATGTAACTTTTACCTAATTAAGAAAGGTTCTTCTATTTCTAGTTCGTTAAACAGTCTTATTATAAATAGCTCTTGCATCTCATCAAATGTTTTATGATACATACATTCAAATAAAATAATTATATGTTATTTATCTTATGATGCATTAATGTTGTGAGTTGTGGATAGAACTTCTAATGTTAAATTATTTATACATTTTTTAGCTTACATCATGATGTATTACTTAATCATGATGTATTATTTTTATGCATTGTGTGCTTTGTTAAGAAATATTGAGAATTTTGAAATCTACATACTTAAGTGACATGCACTATAATTTTGTTTCTTGCGCGGTATAATAATTAAGATGACATTAACCTTATAAAATGAGATGGGCAGGTTTTGCTCTTTTTCTGTTCCTGGAATAACTTTAAAAGGTAGGAATTTACAATTTATTTAATATGTCTTATAACTCAGAGATAAAACTACGGCATATTTGTGAAATAGATGTCTTTGACTACTATATTCATCTTTAGTGCTTATTGTTCTATTTACTTTTTTTTCTCAGCTTCTTCCACTCCCCTTTCTTTGAGTATTGATGGCAGCTGATGTTCTTTCTTCAGGAGGGTATAGCTCA